ACACAAGGCAAAAAAGAGAAAACGCTGCGTTAATAGTTGTTACGGAACAAGGCGCGTTATGTGCTGGAACCCTCATTCACTCTTCGCTTAATTAATTTGTTAATATGTTTATGCTCACAAACAACTCATGCCTTGGTAATGATGCGCAAGTAAGTAGATTACAAATTAGCCACAAACGACATAGGGGCTCTAAAATTTGAGTTGAAATGTATATCCGCTGCCAGAAAGTAAAGAACCTAACTTTACAAAAAAAAACTAAAAAGTAGGAGAAACTTACAAAAAACTTTTTGGAACGTGAAAAGGGATATACAGGGGGTCTGAAATAGCGGCCAGGCACATTAAATCGATCGCGAAAATGAGTTCCTTAACCTATCGCGCCACGATTTTGTACAGCGTGGCCCACAGGAGGTGATCTTATTTATTTTTTTTTATAAAATTTGCAAAGGCAACGTTGCACAAAATCGTAGCGGGAAAGGTTAAGGAACTGATTTTTGAGGTAGATTTAAAGAGCCTGGACACTATTTGAGACACCATGTAAATGAATCAATGAAAGCGTTTATAGAAAAAAAAAATATCTCTCACTCTCACTCTCTCACGTCTTTACTTTTTTTATTACGTCATAATAAACTAACTACGCTACCAATATTTTTTGTGCCATGATCCTTGCTCCAAAGCGTTATCTCCAACAGCCGCATTACCTTGCCTGTGTAGAGATAAGTAGAAACACCACGATTGAAAAGCTCGATAAACAAGAAAAAAAGAGATAGAAACCTCGATAACCATGAGTTGCCAGCAATATGATGACCTTATAAAAAAGGTAGACTCATTGACACGTGTCGATACCGAACTAAAAAAAAAAAGGACAAATGAGAGGAAACAGCTCGGGCATGAAAGAGATGCAAGGATTAAAAGATCTTGAACGGGAAGGGGAAAACGCGGGACAATTAATACTCCCGAAGAAAAAGAGAACATAGAAATTCATGGAATTACAAAGCACGATCGCGAAGACCTGACAGCAGTCATAAAGAACATGGCAAGAAAACTGAATTACTTATCTGTGCCGCAGTCCGGTAAGATTGAGTCTATGCTAAGACTTAAAGTGAAAGATGGTAAGATACCTGCTATCGTTGTACGCTTCAATGACAGATTGGAACGAGACAGATGGGCCTCCAAACGTACAGCATTGAAGAAAGAACACGTGTACATCAACGTGAACTTGACCAGGCTACAGCGATGGTTGTTTTGGAATACAAAAGATTGTGCGATGGAAATGAGTTACAAATACGTCTGGATACATTTGAAGAATGAGACAATCATACCAAAAAAGTTCTAACCGAAGAAGGAAAAAAGAAAGAAGACCAGATCCTACATATAGTTCAAATAAATGTTAGAAGCCTTAAAAAGCACAGTGATGAACTGAATGTTTACATAGCAGATGCACTGGTTGAAATCGATGTGCTTATGTGCTTATACTTACTGAAGTAAAGGTTTAAGTAAACGAACCGGCTGCACTTCCCCATACATTGGTACCATGAAATGCCTGTACGGCGCGAAGGCAGGAATGGAGAATGGATACTGATATACGTTAAAAATAGCTGGCTTTTTGACTGTACTGAGGTATCTTTGCAGCATGCCGAAGCTCTTGTGATCAATATACATAAAGCCGCTATATTGTTCACTATATGTGCCCTTTACTTAAACATTGACGCTTCGAGTCAAGATAAATACGGAGTTTAGGATTACCCGAACATATTGTGCAGTTACGAACAAGAACATGTGATCAATGGTTGCACTAGAGAAGAGCACCTTGCAGATAAAATTACAAAAAGTAGCATTAATCAAATAATAGTCCGAACACGCAATTTATTCTTCATAGGTGGCATAACTAAACAAAAAGTAGGAGATCATTACTTCGTTGCTCTACGGATACTTAAGGAAAACTATACACAACAGATGGAAGAAACCCAATACAAACAAATTATTTGCAACGAAAAAGTGGACTACAGTATGAAAAAGTACAACTGGAACTTACATCTTGAACATATAGCCCTTTATTAAGCGGTGATCGAGAAACTTGGGAGCCTGTACGAAAGTTAAAAAAGACGATTAAATTAATATAAATAAATCGTAGCAACAAGTGGATTTATAATGAAATACTTGAGTCAAGTTTTGAGAAAAATAAATTATGGAACAGATGTAGGCAAGATACGCAGGATAAATCACTGAAGGAAGAGTATAGGCGAATAAGGAACAGGGTAACTGCAAAAATCAGTCTATCCAAAGGAAGTTTCGTATAGCACAGCTCAAATAGTGCGGAAAGAACACCTGGGAAACGTGGAATACTGTTAATCAAATCATAGGCAAACATCCCAAAGATAACACGGACGAATTTCTAAAGAAAAATTTTTCAACAACCAATTTCGATACACTAAGTGATAACTTCAATCGCGCTTTAGTTAGGCAAATGCAAGACCTACGTAAGCACGCAAACAAATCTACCACAAAACCTAACTTACGGAGCCGTACAGAAAACTCCGAGTACATGCCGCAAATAACAGAAGTAGATCTACAAGATATAATTAGCAACATAGTAACGACAAAACCGGCAGAATACGACCAAATAAGGCCCAGAGATCTGCGCGTTGATTTTAACGGTCTAAAAAATGTTCTTCTGCCAATATTAAACGGGATTTTTGAAAAAATGAGATATACATAATAAGATGACGGTGTCGATAGTGCGGCCAATTTATAAAAAAGGGAACAAAAAAGATGTTTCCAATTACAAGCCCGTTGCGTTGTCAGCCAATCATCAGATAGTGGAAAGATTTATTTTAAAAACTATAACCTCGTTCTACGACAAATTCTCATTAATAAAGAACTGTCAGTATGGGTTCCGGAAAAATAATAATACGTCACTATTACTCGAAGACGTAGCGGATTTTATTAATGAGAAGATAGACAAGAATCAAATTGTACTTGCCTTGTTTTTAGACTTAACTAAAGCGTTTGATACAATAGACAATGATATTCTACTAGATAAACTAGAAAGTCTGGGATTCAGAGGACCGTTCCTTAAATTTTTCAAAAATTACTTTACCAGCCGAACACAAAAAGTAAGAATTAGCAATTGTATAAGTGATACCATCAACCTCCCTTGTGGTGTACCCCAAGGATCGGTATGAGGCCCAATACTATTTAATATACACATGAAGGACCTCGTTTTTTTTTAATATAAAATATATATCAATATACTGACGATACCACTTTAGTTCTAGCAAACAAAAAGTATAGTACTGTGGCGTCTGCTTTACAAGAGGGCATGAAACGAATAATGACCTGGTCTTTAAAGTACTTCATTTTTGTAAATAAAAATGAGACTAGTTTAATGTGCTTCAGAACCCATCAAAAGCATATTGACCTCACAGAAGCCATCTTTTTATATTCAGCGGAATGCAGGAATTCTTGCTGTTCACCACTAGTATACGCAACAGGAACTCAATACCTAGGAATTTACTTTGACGAACATTTCTACTAACGCCTAACCTAACAAAGCAGTTGATGATAATTTCATCTTACCTGTACTGACTTCGTAGTCACGCGGACATCACATTAAGGAAAACAGTTTACCAAATGTTAGGTGAATCGAAATTGAGTTATGGAATAACGATCTATGCATTCTGTTCGAACACCAAAAAGCAAAATATCGATAACACGATAAAAATAATTGTAAAGAACGTCACTTACGGAACCCGGCTCGAGCACATACCATTCGAAGAACAGCTTACCGAACTTAATCTTCTTGCGATAAGTAATCTGAGGAACTATACAATCATCACGTCAAACTACTTCAAGACTGAATACAAGACATAGTCAACCAGACAAAAACAGTTTAGGAAGACCGAGAAATATAACATTCCGAGAGTATATACAAATGATGGAACACGATAAAGAAACTAGTACGTTCCAAATCTCTTTAATTAACTTCCTGGCAATTTGCAGGAAATCCAGTCGTTACGTACAGTAAAAAAAGGAAATCCTGAAATGGTGTCAAAGTAGGTCGATTTGAATTTGGAAGTGTGCCCTTATACTTTATTCATGATCTCGTCTTGTAACTCATGTCAAGCAATTTTTGTCGCTTCTTTGCTTATCACTGATTCATGGCCGCTGCTTGTGTTGGTTTTTGCTGTAATGACTTTGCTGTTGAACTTTTAGTTTCGAATATTTTCTTATTGCTTTTGCGTTTCATTATTGGCTTAGTATATGACTGATTCACGAGCAATGTCCACGGTATTTTTCTTACATATTTATATATTTTTCATGATTTTGTTCGTTCGGATAGAAGTTTTCCGTGTTGAGTGTTACTTGTCGTTTTTGGTTTTCGCTACTGCTGCATGCGGTGTTTCTTCTTTTTACGCGGGATGAATGTAACGGATACAATTGCACGACCCAAAGTTCAATCCGCAAAGTGTTAATGATTGTTAGGCCACAGCATGACACACCACGGGTTCTTGCAGTTTAAGTTTTGTTTTATTCTTGTTGTTTCTCTTTTTTTTTCTGTAGCAAAGCATTGGGGGGGGGGGGGGAGCATTTGTACAATTGGACTGCTTGTTCTCACACACAAGCACATATGCTTAAGTGAGGCGGTTTTGGAAAGTATATTTTGAAAGAAAACCTGAAATAAAACTATTCTATTCTATTCTAAGTGTTCTTGTACTTTCACTTTACGTCCGGCCGCAACGGCGACAGTCAGGTACGGAGCCAACGAAGCGGCGGCGGCAAACAAATGCATGGTCGCGGCGCAAGTTGTCTTTGCGCCGAGTTTGCCACTACAGGCTAAAACCAATCGCGCACTGGAAAATCATGATGCGCCGCATTCACTGCCCGTGACTACTAAAGTCGGTGATATAGCAAACGCACAAAGCCAATGAGCGTCTGTTGTGACGATGCACTTTTGGCGCAGATTGACTGGATCCATCGGACCGTCGGCCGCGGTGGTGTAATTAAAGTGGGTGACCGCAAGTGGGGAGGACATGGTCATTCGGTTGTCCGCCGCTAGCGTGCCCTTCACGGTCGGCGGTGTAAAGCTTTTCGGCGAGAACGACAAACGCGAAATCCCAATGTAGCGGAGTGTCCGACGCGACGGGCTTGTCGAGAGAACTCCAGCGTTTCAGCTGGAGCCCTGCTCCGCCCAGTGCATCTTCCACCATGGCTTTAGTCAAGCTGACCTTGGGAAATTTGATGCCCGCGACGGTGTACTCGCGAGATCCGACAACGCCGCAAAATATGAGGTGCCCTCCGTCGCGAATCAGACCCGACACATTCCGCGTGACTCTCCGAAAGGCTTCTTCGTCGCGACTTGCGGCCGCGAGGCAGAGGCTCGAGAAGACCACGTCGAAAAGTTCATCGTGCTCTTCGGGGAGGACGTTCGTGTCCAGGACGTTGCACGGGATGACCTTCTTGATGGCCGCGCGTGTCCTTTCTTCGATGTCTTTGGCTCCACATTTCGCGTCCCTGCGTGGTCAGTTTCTCGGGTTAGAAAAACAATCTTATATGAACTCAAAATTCTACGAAAACGAAGGAGGGGCATAGAAGACAACACGCTCGACAATACACAAAATGCTGGTTCACAGAGATGCGTTTGACTACGCTCAACTACTACCGCTTGAAACTATACTTTGCTTCAGCTTAGCTCCGAGCATAGAAGTCTGGGGACGGTTCACCGCATGCAAAAGACGGTACGTACGCATCACGAAGTAGTTCGCAAAAGTAAAATTTTAGAAATACTTTGTTTCTGTGCATACACTGCACAATTTTTATGCTGAGAACTAATTACCAAAAAATGAATAAAATAAATTACGTTCCACGTTCTTCACATTGTAGTAATGAAAATGCTTCGACGAAAAACGCCTACATGCTGGCAACACTCATGCGACTGCTACCGCCTTCCCCCCATTTTTTGCGTGTGATTTTCTGTTCTCAATGGCCGAATCGTGGGCTTCAAGACCAACGCTTTCCTCGCCAAGTTGCTGGACATCCTTTGGTTTTCTGTTTTTCTAATTTCCACCGACAACGCAAGATAAAAAGAAAGGCAGGTTTGGGAGTCAGACGCGAGATCGGGATGAAAGTGTACTTTACTTCGTCAGGAGTCTCAAACCGCGTCGTACCGCGAAGTTGTTCAACGAACATCAGAGCTAACAGGCGCTGGGAAATCGACGAAACATTAATTCGCTGACGACGGGAAACGCTCTACGATGAAAAACGTGTCAAAATTGGGAGCCAAGGCGGCGGTCAGAGGCAAAACCATGCCGTGTTGATGCAGCGCCGAGAAAATGCGTACTCCAATGCGACCGTGCTTCCCAGCACTGCCGACAGGGAACACCTCTCGCCCCTCTGTTCGCGGCTGACGGAGTTCGTCTTGGCAAAGGACGGTCCCGGTCGGCTGCTACGCCTGCGAATAAGCAGGAGAAATGACACCAGCGGCGACGACGACACTGTCGATGGATGCGGCCCGCAACCGCATGAACGACGCCAAAAACACCGCTTGCTGGCAACACCGTAACAACTGGGGGGACGGGAACAAGCAATGATAGCCTGCACATTTTGCCTTTGACCTCACTCTTGCCTTAAGGCAAGAGTGAGGTGCAAACGTAAAATAAAGGCATTCTATAAATGAATCAGGGACGCGGTATGCGTTTGTTGCTGTTATCCGTTTGCGGAGAGAGCGCGCTGCTGTGTTCGAAATGGGAGACACGGAGTAGTCTACTCAGTGAGATCACTTAACCGACCTTTTACCGTGGGCTCCGGTCGGCACCGTGGCAGAGCGGAAGACCCGTCTGGGCACGGAACGTTACCAACTTCCTTGTTCCAGACCCGGCCTTCCTCTGCCGGCAGTGCGACGGCCCTTTGGGAAGCCCAGCAGCCGCCGCACTGAACCCAGTCCTATTCTACGACGCGGAATGGCATTTTTAGTTTTGTAGTAGTCAAAATGGGTCTCTTCGACTTCTCTGCACCTCTGCGCAGATTCCGAGCGGAGTGATATACGAAGTGCGGGCGAAGTCTTTTGATTAAGATGAAAAGAAAAAACAAGATAGCTTCATATGGTCCCCTTATCTGGAGGGGCCGGGAGGTTGGATGATGCGTTGTGTTGTGTCAACTTTGTTGACCTTGCGTAGTCAAGGAGCGTGTCCATGACCTGCTTTCTTTGTTGTAGTTCTTGTCTGGAGGTCCCCCAGTTTTTATTGCCGTAGGAGTCGTAAATCTTGTGGTAGTCTTAAAGAGGCCCTACAATCATATTTAAGCGTCTACCTTTTCTTTTGTGGCTTCCCCCTACAACTCTCGGGGTTCGGCCAAGCCAGCGGGCACGGAGAGAATAACTGAATATCAGTGCGTCATATTTTAACCGGACGACGCGGAAACCTCCTCCACGTACGGGGTCGACCCACGGTGCCTAAAGCGCGCGATATGTGACGTCTTTGGTCCTAGCCTAATTACTACTTGTCAGAGCCGCTAAAAGCTTCTTTTTAGTCAAAATACAAAATATAAGTGGCACGAACCGTTTCAATTATTCATGAAAGTAGTTTTGTTTAGTATATTAGAAAAGAAAAGAACAAAAGAAACAAATGTAGTTTACAAAGTACGGAAACGAGAAATGACCCGTCGACATACCCGCCACCAAGCGGTGGAAAAGGTGGCGCATACTAGGAAGGTGTAGTGGGATCAGGCACCGACGTGCGGCGAGCGTAGAAAGGTCCCGGATGTACGCGGCCGCGCTGCGGTCGAGGATCCGGCCGGTTCCGAGCGTTCCGAAGGCCTTCAGAGCAGATTGCCTTGCGGTTTGGCAATATGGCAGCGCGAAGTGGCTCCCGTTCTGAACTGATCTTTACCCCTTGTTTGCTGTCGTTTGTGGCCAATGAAGTGTCATGCCGAATTTGTGTTTAATCGCGCAGCAAATGCAATGAGAGCCGCCCTTGCTGCCCGCTTTATACAGCCTATTCAGAACATGCTTTAGTGGCGCTCTCTCGTGCCGTCGACACGGAGTGCGGCAGCCGTGAGCGCTCGCTGAGCTCACTACCCCTTCTCTAGTTCACGGCCACTAAAGCGACCAAGGACGTCATGAGGGGGGTCAGTTTTTGCTTGTTTTTGTAATTTTAATTGGCCTGTAACTTTAAGAATAAAGCGAAATTCGCTAAAAGAAAAGTTTCATTAAGTTACTACGTTCAGTGCCCTCAGGTTCGGTGCAAGTTCAAGACACGCAAAAAAGTTCTTGCAGGGCCTCTTCGTTCCTTGGCTTCTGGCCACGCGATCCCAAATGCGGTGTCTACAGGTGGCCGGGGGCTCGATTTTGATGGCTAATGACGAGGTAACACTGGTGCCATCTACCGGGTTACGTTGGAACACTTCACATCTGCGTACATTTTACGCATGACTATTTCACAAGCAGCCCAAAATCATTCGGACAATGTTATAGAAACCATTTACCATAGATAGCGCCTAGTTTTCCTCATGCAAATGCTGCAAAATCCTTGATCTAGTTAGACGCCAATCGAAAGGTTTTCAGGGCTATCTGAGCGATGGCGCCACCTGCCAGAATGTTTTGTCGTCGTGAGCCGCCCATCAAATGCTATCGTAGCGCGGTCAAACACAGTCAAACGCAGAGGTGTGAGCCAGCCTTAACTATACTCGAACACAACGTTCTGTAGCATGCTTGAAGTGAGGCACCAAAACAACGAGGACACAAGGAGAGATGCAGACAGGACGAGGCGCACTTTCAACTGAACTTTATTTTTGAAAAACACAAAAACGCAAGCTATGCCCAATGTACACGTGCGCATGGGTAAGAAATAAAGATAGAACAAAGCCTAGCGCGTTTTCCTACGTGACACGTTCATTTTGAAGGAACGTATACTCCCTATCAGATACAGATAAAGATGGAGCGCTGACGCAGACATCGGTTCCGCGAGATCTTATGGTGAAGGCCTCCAAGATTTCGCGAGCGATTTTTGTTGCGCCGCTTCCAACAATTCTTGTTTCGTCAAACTTTGGGTCACACTCGCATCGATCACAGTGTACTGCCAAGTGGCCAGACGGGGATTGCCTAGTTGGCGCAGAGTGCTCCCTGATTCTATCATTAATGCACCTCCCCGTCTGGCCTGATTCTATCATTAATGCACCTCCCCGTTTGGCCAGACGGGGAGGTGCATTAATGATAGAATCAGGGAGCACTCTGCGTCAACTAGGCAATCCCCGTCTGGTCACTTGGCAGTACACTGTGATCGATGCGAGTGTGACCCAAAGTTTGACGAAACAAGAATTGTTGGAAGCGGCACAACAAAAATCGCTCGCGAAATCTTGGAGGCCTTCACCATAAGATCTCGCGGCACCGATGTCTGTGTCAGCGCCCCATCTTTATCTCTATCTGATAGGGAGTATAAGTTCCTTCAAAATGAACGTGTCACGTAGGAAAACGCGCTAGGCTTCGTTCTATCTTTATTTCTTACCCATGCGCACGTGTACATTGGGCGCAGCTTGCGTTTCTGTGTTTTTCAAAAATAAAGTTCAGTTGAAAGTGCGCCTCGTCCTGTCTGCATCTCTCCTTATGTCCTCGTTGTTCTGGCGCCTCACTTCAAGCATGTACAACCAACTAGCCCAACTCGCCGTTCTAGTTCTGTAGCATTTTCGAAGAGGGGGATTGGGGGGCGGGGGGGGGGGGGGGACTTCGCCAGCGTAGCTTTGATCAGCTCTCAAGCAGGCCTTTGACTGCATCGCCACGGAAACTTTGTAACCGAGTATAATGTGTTGCGGGGCATAAAACAGCCGACAAATACCTCCTTGCGCTGGCCTTAAAGAGAGCTCCAGATAAAACTTTTTAGCAGCTGATTTGCCTCGAAATCGCTTCAATACATCAATAGATACGGCTTAAAGGCCGACGTATCCCCTCGGATTTCTGCATGGATGATAATCTGCTTAGCACTCCCCTCTCCTGAGCAGCGAGGGTAGCTAAGCGGGGCAAGGCAATAAGTGGAGAGGATATGGGAAAGGAGGAGGCGGGCAACAGGGGAAAGCGCGAAGTGTACGTCGATCTTTAAAAAATAATCCAAATAACATGTCGAAACTATTTTTTTTTCGAAAGCTCCTGACTTTTTAGATTTGGCCCTTAGCGCGTTTTGTACCTAAAAGACTCAAATGTTGAGAGATGCTGATATTTGGGTTGTACAGCACGTTCCCAGCGGCTTACGTGTTTGATGGTGTGAAATTAATAGTATAGAATTCCACTGTAGCGGAACTAAAAATACAATAAAAAACATGGGGGACATAAAAGCCGTACCAAAATTTGACGCCGCAGCTTTATGCTTCGGATAAGAAATTGAGCCGGAGCACTACCACTGCTAGCCCGTTGCCTTTAGCTTGAATTCCACCCTAGTAATAAGCGACCGCACGCCTGTACGATCCCCATTCAGATCTAAACGGGCAGGAACGGGAATTGAGGCCAGGGTCCTCCCTGCTTTCTGTGGTGCAAGCTTTTGTTTCACGTGCTCAAAGCTGTGGAGACTTGAAACACTTGGTCATCGACCGCCCCCTTTCCAGCAAGCAACGCCATCAAAAGCAGCATGTTAACGGTTAATTTACAGTTCTGTGAAAGCTCCTTACTTGTACCCTTCCAAGATGGCCAATGGTTCGCTCATGAAGGACCAGTTTATGGCGTCATGTGCTTTCTGGATCCACTTCTCTACCTCCTGTCGACTTCTGGGAAGCAGGTCACTTAAAACAATGCTTTGGATCTTCCTTGTCGCCGGGAAGACGTTGGCAACAGTGGGTCCACATCCAATATCCAGAAGTGTTCGCCAGGAGTCAGACACCGCTGTAGAAAGAGGAAGGTATTTCACCTTAGGAGGAATTGGCTGCATGCCCGTAATGATTTCAAGTTCAAGTCTCCATTGTGAGACTCCGAAATGTTATCAGAGGATGGAAGCTCATGCTGGAGATGGGACAAATGAAACTTCTCCCTGCCGCGCTCCTCCTGACAGTGGCTATGAGCCGGAAACGTGGGCGACTCCTAGTAGGGGGCTTAAGATTTCACCAAATGAGGATTTTACTTGAGAAGATTTTCGTAAAACATTAGTACCTCTGAGATCTCTATCAGCGAATGCCGGCGCAAAAGACCGAGTCACCCGAGAATCGTGCTTGTGGCGCCATCCGTGATGTGTGAGGATCAAGCAATTGATGGAAAGCATACAACAATTTAATGATAACAGTTTACGATTTTGCGCTAGAATCAATGCAACAACAGATTTTCTTTTTATGTCTATACGCACGATGTGCTATCAAAAGTTTCCGGGACTGATTTTGTAGCCTAAAAATTTGGGGCTTCAGTTCACGCTGTGAAGGCGGTCGGACAGTGAAGCTATGGTTTCACATGAAACGACTGCTCACTCAACTATAGACCCTTTTTGCGGCAAATGCCACCAGGTGGTGCTCCAGTCTTTGACGTCCCAGAGAACTTCCGGTTTATAAAAAGAATTAACAAAGACCACCTCAACACCGCTGCTTTGAAATTTAAAGGAAACGTTTAACCACCAATTCTCCAGGTGAACGCTGAAAGAACGAAGGAGTGCGAGATCTGTTAAAATGTTCAGAGTATTCTTGTAAACCAACTTGCCTCCTCCGAGATGTAATATTGTACAACCGAAGGCGCTCGTTAAATCTCAAAATTTGTTGTCCGCGTAGCATATTTATGCTTTCTAGCACCGGTGACATAACCAAGATCAACAGGCTTGCAAAAACGGTGCGACCGGAAGTCGCTTGTGGCGCAAACGGCAGTTCATGTTTTCGAAAGAAAAGTAAATGCACTGTACCAAAACTTTTTATAGAAGGTATTCACTGGACGCCATATTTGAGGGCGCTGTTTAGAGCCCATGCTCAGAACGAGCTCCCATTAATAGGTTGCGAAAATGGACAATATTGATGGTGTGGAATGCACGTTATAAAACAACTGTGGAATCTCGCCATGAGCACGCGCTCAGCAGTCATGCGAACAGCTATACACTCCGTGCGACGCAACTGGTGCGCCGCCGCGCGGCCGGTACCGAAGGTAGGCAGCGAGAGCCCCAGAGAAACGAAACCGAAACCACGCCGCGTACGTTGGTACGCACTGAGTGCGATTGCGCTGGGTTCACAGCATGAAGTGCTGCCGGTGCTGCGTCGTTAAGTGCTTCAATAGTTATGCGTCGTATCTCCTGGGGACAAAGTTTAGCAGTTTTTCACCTCGCCGATGTTTTGTGGGACAGCGACAACGATGGACCCGCGCCGTACGACGCGCAAAATTCGGTCTCCCGATCATGTCTGCCACTGTGTCGGCACGGCTGACATATTTTATACTGCCGCTTTGCGCTCTGCGTTTGTTTTCGTACCATTAACGTCTACATGTGTTAGCGCCGATGGGACGAACTGAAATGCCATCCCACACTCGCGGGTATGCAGTGCCGATTTCGTTGGAGGATTGCCCCCCTAGGAAGCTCCGTCCCCGTCGTACGTGTCGGTGATATTTCCGGACAGGTATGGTACGCAGTCTGTACTTCATGAAGAAAGATTCTAATGGTAAAAAAAAGACAAATATGAATTTAAGGAAAACTACAATGAAGCTCGGAATCACTGGAGAATCGACGTTTGAGTATGGAAAGTTATGTGGTGTGCTTTCTTTCTTGATCAGCCTCCTTTTGGATGTGGAAACGCTGACACCCCGAGTTCTGTAGACAACAATTTCTTTTTTCTCTCGGCTCTAGAGCCACCTATCGCAACGTTGTTCGAACTGGAAGTACCGTCCACTAATCCCTTCCTACCTGTAAAGTGTGCACCACCCTATCTTGACAGCCTTTGACGGTCAAAACCAGTTCCCATTTAGTTACGCCGCCCAAATTAAATTTCCACCTGGTTTCGCTATGCCACCTCTTTTTGGTATAATAAGTGTTGTGTCAAGTTACGGTCATGTCAAAGTACCTGTGTGCCGAAAATCAACACTTCGCACAACAGGTTATTACAAAACAGCTGACCGCAAAAGCATTTGACGGCCAAACCGTGTGTTGGCCGACAACTTTGTTTTCTCGGCTTTGTAATGACCTTTCGTAAAGTGGTTTCAATTGGAAATAAAGTCTACTAGTCCCTTCCTACCTGTAAAGTCTCCACCTCCCACGACAAGTGGTAGTTTCTTGACAGCCCTTTCATGGTCAAAACCGGTTCCCATTGAGTTACGGCACCCAAACCAAATTTCCACCTGGTTTCCCTATGCCATTTTTGTTTTTGGTATAATAAGTGCTTTGTCATGCTTCTCTCAAGTCCGAGCACCTGTGTGCCCAAATCTGCACTTCGCACAGCCCGGTTATAACACAACATTTTGGGTCCAATATTCGATATCCCCGTACAGCTTTATTTCTTTATTCGTTAGAAACCTAACTTTCACACCTGCTGTATTAATGAAACTTAGCAAGCTCCGTGCTCAAACTTAGTGAACGTCTCACTCGCCTCCAAATATCATCGTTCCAGCAGTCCTACGTTTACAGCGACGAGCGAAATAAATTTCCCACTTAGAGCAATTATGGTGGCGGCCGTCTTGCTTTTCGCAAAATTGCTCCAACTCCTTTTTCGGCCGCAACTAGAGAAATTGCCCCTAATAACGACTCAATCTCAATATATAAGAAGTGGAGAACAGCTAAATGCCCTTCTTAGGTCTGCCCCGCACTCATGCAACGTCACCCTCAACGTATCGGCTCAAAAAGCAAAAGTTACCTTCGTGCGCGCTTCCGCCGCCACAGCTTGGCAAGCGAAAAGGCGCCGCAGTCTGCGCTGAAAGCGCCTCACTGTCAAACGCCAGCTCCTCCGCTAGCGGCGCTACGCGCGTTTTTCAAAGCGCCCCCTATAGTTCCCGCACGGAGCGTATATGGCCGCCAGTGAATACTCCATATACATGAAAGTCTAGTGACGTCACTCCCCACGTCGCAAGCTGCCGCCGCCGTGGCAGCTTGCGCTACCGTAATATTTACCGGGAAATATATACGGTGAGCGTTTCGTGCTTCGCATTGTTATCAGAAGCGCCTTACCATCAGTCCTCTGGTTCGGACGCTTGTTTTGCGCAATTGTGCATTATTGAAACGCATGTTTGCTGTATGCTGTATGCGTGATATGCACTTTTCGCTTCAATCGCTGAAGGTTTCTTTTTCTGTGAGGGCGACGATACGAAAAAAATTCCAGAATTCCGTACAGCTTGGCTGCAAAAGCGAGAGCAGCACGGTGATGCGCGCGCAGCAGTCGAAGGCAGGGACCTTCATGTCTCTATTGGGGATGTGCGCGACCAAAAGCGTCACTGTCGTTGGCATTTCACGATTGGTCAAACGCTCCCTATGACATCTTGAGTATGATGAATTTTACTTTCATGAATCGGAATAAGAGGAGACGTCAGACTGTCGACTCTGACTGTGTTGGTTTGAAAAAGTAATGACTACAAGCTTCCACCGTGCTTTTGAAACACACCATCAAGAATGTCGCTGGCAATCGGTAATCTCGGTCGTGACGTCACTGATGGGAACCTTAAAAGGAAGCCAACGTAACATCTTGTTACCAATATGCCAAAGGGAGTAGTTCCATTGACTTTTGAAGCTGCATGCGCTACACAAGTTTTTGTGATCACGTGCAATTGTGAGTTGCACTCGCTCTTGAAGAATGATAAAACATCGCTAGAAGACGAAGAGAGGCAGTGCGACCTTCTCAGACCTATGTTTGTTGTCTTCCAGTGAAGTTCTGCCATTCTTGAAGCGCGAGTGCCACTAGAACACTTCGCACCATTCACTGCTTTGTAACATATGAGCTTGATGAATCACTTCAAAGCAGACTTGTATATACTTCAACTACTCTAGTGAAGTTACTGTACTTTAACCACTTTTCTAGACAGTTTCCTAACTTTCAAATGCATTTTTATTTCGGTAATTAGTAGTTAACTTCAATTACTTTTTCTGAGTAACTGCTAATTAAATTACGAATTAATTTCGAATTTTGGTGGTAGGTTTGCTCATCATTAGTCGTGCACAAAAAGAGAAATCTTGAAAGATGAGATGATACTTGCAAAAAGCGGGAAGCATGTGGTGCAGGCAAGGGGGCGGAGGAGTAAATTAGAGTATCTAGAACCCTCCAAAATTTTCACAAGCCCCCCCCCCCCCCCTGCAACAACTCAGCTTCGAGGCGCGTGGAGCAGACAGGCACGTCGCAAGTGAGGCCGAGGACCTGCGGGATTACCGCAGAAGACCGACGCCTCGTCGTGCCCTGAAGCTCGAGGACACTTCACGCATTCCAAAGGTGTGTCTTGCTTCTCCCCGATGTAGAAACTCTCGCCCTGTACAGGAGGTGTACTCACTGCATCCTCAAACAAAAAAGGCAACAAAATGCAGCAGCCTTCCTGAAACTCATCTGGTGCTCCAGTAGGGCAACGCAAAGCTGACGTCTTTGCGTTGCCTTTCTTCCTTAAACTCAGAATGTGCAGGTCCTTCAAGATTCGACGATCGTTCGAGAGGCCTTAGTAATTCTCCCACGATTTTGACATAAAAAATTATAAACAAGCGGTGTTGGAAAGTGCTTTATGTACATGGTACTTAAAGTACTATCTTCAAGTAGGTTTATAAAACTTGTACTTTATTTGAAGTAAATACTTTGAGTATGTACTTGTGCTTTATTCAAATACTTTTGCGGTACTTTCTGGGGAATGTATATCCCCCGACTTCAATGTACATTTCCAAAATTTGAAAACAAGAAATGGCGTATCATCAATGAAAATGTGCTATCGTCTTTTGATATGACATCTGGTAATTTCTCCAAGTGAAGTAATGGCGGCTATAAGACCGATATAAGTAACTGCCTTATAAATTGATTGCGATAAAAAGCTTGCCTGCGAGAGTACAACTACTTTGTGGCGACCTGCCTTTGTCCAACATTTCCGACCATTTCTGTGAAAAACTGATGCACCTCCGATCAGGGGCGTAACTAGGTATGTCCTGAGGGCTGGGGGGAGGGGGGTCAAGGTATCAGATGCTGCGCGCGCATCTTCGTGCTGCCCAATCATTTTGCGCTAAATACACTCCAAACTTTTAGTTTGCACTTCGTATAAGCCTCGTCATTGGCCAAGCTCCTTGCGTAAGATTGGAGTGGCTGGCTATCCCATCTGCTTCGCAGGAAAGCAGTTGCTTAAGATTTATTGGAATGCAGAAACTCTGATGGAATTGTAATATTTGTGTTGTTTTCATTACAGCTCAAATGCATCTGGATCTTTGGCGTCAATCGGATTTTGGGGATAAAGCTAATACTGCCACGTGCATAATAGAGAAGGAGGCAGTTACAGGTTAAAAAAAAGTTTTCGAAGTAAAGGTAGGCCGGGGAGGAGGAAGCAGTCGAAATGCTAGAGATGAGAGGAGGAAACCTCCTCCTCTGTACAGCCTTCCGTCTTCTTCCTCCTCCCCAGCCTTCCTTTTCTCTAAAACTTTTCTTACAGGTGCCTTGCAAGGACTCTTTTACTGGTTTTTAATTTGCACTGAACCCGAGCGCACTGAACGTAATAACTTAATGAAACATTTCTGTTCTCGAATTTCGTTTGATTTTAAAAGTTTTAGGAAAATTAATATTACAAAAACACGAAAAAAGTAACCTCCTTCATGACGTCCTTGATCGCTTGAGTGGCCGTGAACTAGAGGAGGAGTAGTTAGGTAAGCGAGCGCTCACGGCTGCCGCAGTTCGTGTCGACGGCTCGAGAGGGCGCCACTAAAGCATGTTCTGGATAGGCTGTATGAAGCGGGCAGCCAGGGCGGGTCGCATTGCATTTGCCGCGCGATTAATCACTAATTCGGCATGACACTTCATTGGCCACAAACGACAGCAAACACGGGGTAAAGATCATTTCAGAACGGGAGCCACTTCGCGCTGCCATACCGCCAAAGTGCAAGCCAAACCTGCTCCGAAGGCCTTTGGAACGCTCGGAACCGGTCGGATCCTCGACCGCAGCGCAGCCGCGTACATCCGGGACCTTTGTACGCTCGCCGTTCGTCGGTGCCTGATCCCATTACACCTTCCTATTATGCGCCGCCTTTTCCACTGCTTGGCGGCGGCATGTCGAGGGGTCATTTCTTGTTTCCGTACTTTCTAAACTGCATTTGCTTCTTTTCTGATCTAAAATACTGAACAAAATCTACTTTTATAAATAATTGAAGCGGTTCGCGCCGCGCATATTTTGTATTCCGACTAAAAAGAACCTTAAAGTGGCTCTGACGAGTAGTGAGCTCAGGAACAAAGACCTCACATTTCGCGGGCTTTCCGCACCGCGGGTCGCCCTCGTAGGTGGAGGAGGTTTCCGCATCACCCTGTTAAAATATGACGCACTGATATTTAGTTACTCTCTCCGTGCCCGCTGGCTTGCCGGAATCCCGAGGGACGTAGAAACCGCCAAAAAAGGCAGACGCTTAAATATGATTGCAGGGCCCCTTCAACCTGAGTGGAAAAGATAAGGAGGTCAGAATGACCTTGCCGAGTCAATCTCGCCCTAGCTCTCGAACATTCTAGGCCGAATATTCGAGGTGCCAAGGGCAATGGATAAGGAGCCCATCGCGGCCTTGTTGGCTCCCTCTTGTTCCAGCCGGCTGCGGCGCTGCGACGTTCTTTCTCTTCTATCAGCTGTTATCCCCTACGCCCCGGCACCGTAGCTAACGATGACCGTTCGGACCCTGACTTACCTGGCTCGCGTTAGTATTTCCTCTTTAGCAAGTCCTTTCTCTCTCTCTCTCTCGCCGCGACGTTCTCTGCTGCTGTTTCGACGCTCTATTTTTTGTTTGTTTTTGGCGCAAGTTTGCCGATTAAACCCCTCTTATTTTCAGTGTACGGTCGTCGCGAGCCTTTTTCATTTGCGGCAATATCTTTAGACGTATACTCACGAGAATTGAAAATGGAGTGAAGCTCCCTCTGGTAAAACGAGTGGACGCCGGTAAGCGCTTTCATGGCCACCGGATATTCCCTGGGCTCGAAGTCTCGGAGATACTGTTTTCTCATTTTCTCACTGCTCATGATGTTTTCTTGTGTGTCCCGTCAAAATAGCGTCGAGAGTTAAATCTTCCTGTTTTAGCCTGAAACGAGAAGCGGATCGATTTAAAGGAGCTGTGCAACGATATTCAATTGGAATGTTTTTCGCTCTAAACGAGCTTACTGGCACACCTGGGACTCAAGGATACTCACACGCAACGCCACTGGCCAAGAAACTCCTTTGTTGCGGTGTAATTTCAAGGACAAAAGCGATCATTTTCATTCAATCTCTCCTTTGCAAAATCTGATGACGTAACTCGGGGATCGCAGTACACCCAAGTGACGATATTTGAATGCGGTTCATAGATTGGACGCGAGCATTGCGTGGGCACTCGACTTGGGCTCGTGACAATTGCTAGCTCGAGAAGCATTCCGGTAGTGACCCGTGTCCAATCGCTGCAACGACGACAACAGCCGAGCCATAACAATGTCTGGAACTCAGCGCGTGCCCTGTGCTCTGCCAACCCCAGCGCGTGGCTATGATCAACACTGGCGGCATATAATCGGCTCAAGATCACGTGGCCGCTTGTTCTGGCTGCGAGTTGAGGGGGTGAACGCTGCTCATTTTTCTTAAATTTTTTTCCGGGACTTTTATTGCGTGGGGTGAAAAACGAACGCGTGTTTCATAGGTCATTAACGTTAGGGATCCGTTTTAAGCGATATTTGTGCACAGTACAAAAATTGTTGCACAGCTCCTTTAATGGTTTAAGCCCCTTTGAAAACTCCATGAGGCAACGTTAGCGATCGCCATTTCTTGGGCACGAGGCGTTTTATTGGATCAGAGCTCTCGCCGATATTTGACGCAGCCCTCGTGTCCAAATACATGTTTCGAGGGGAGTAGCACGATTGCCCCGCGTGCAGAATCTCTCTCGCAAAAGCCCCGCGTCATTAGCCCCACGTTTTAAAAACCCCGCGTTCAGTTACCCCGCCCCGTGTTCCCCGCATGCCAAAAGCCCCGTCCCCTCTGTCCCCATCCCACCCTCTTCGCGCTTCGACCAGCATTGTTCAACGTTCTAACCTAATTAAAAGTTTTCGGGGTATACAAAGGGTATTTTAAGTGAGAGGAACAGCAAATTAAGGTTAGCACGGAGCGCCGGAAAACTTACGGCGAATTCCACTTGGTCGTTTTGGAGCTGCCCTGTGTTTCACTGGGCGATCGGGATGGAGACGGACGTGTTCCAAGCGTCGTTTTGGATCAGCTCCAACTGCAGATCTGGAACCGGTCACAGTCCGAGTTTCGCGGCGTTGACATCAGCGTCGCCACCATCGGTGACGCTGTGACTATAGCATCGCCACCGGCAACGGCGCTCGGGTGGTGGGGGGCTCTCATTATTACAAAAATACAAATATAAGAGCTTTGTCTGCCAACAATAATTTCAACAAAACGTCTTCACCGCGTCATGAATATAAAATGTAATTTATTGTATATATTTATTTCTATGTGTTTCTCCTTTGGTCTGGAACCCAGACCATAAGCCAAACGCGGGCAGAGGTTGCATGAGCAGTCAACTCACTCGACTCGCTGGCGCCCCAAGTCTTTCCCCCCCCCCCCCCCCTCCCCCCCCCCCTGGCGCCACTGCTCCGCTCTCCCGAATTCGTAACTTTGTAACGGTTGTGTCGCTGTGCGGCCGCTCGTTGCGCGTGGTTTCGTTTAGCTGAGTGTCGTGCGTGCATGGTCCCGGTCTTCGGCGTTCCGCGAGCCTGTCGAATTCAATGAATATTTTTGGTGCTAACTGACAGACTACTGAGGGATGCATTCGACGTGGCCATGTCCAAATGGTGCACGAAGAGCGCAAAAGCCAACCTACATTTTTTTTTCCACTAAAGATTGGTTTGAGTTTGTACTTCCCGTACTCAGCTTTGTTTGCTGAGCGAATTTAATATTGAACTTTTGTTGCCCATAGCTGTTAGTTTACGGGTTGACCGTACTAGAGGCAGGCTTGTGCCCACAGTAGAAACAAATGCTTTCTAATATTCTCCATGAAGAAAGTCCCCGAACGACTACGGCTTTAATGAACTTAATGGTATACACTTAGCCCCACTTCGATTTAGGCACAACTGCATATTTAAAGTGTAAAGATAGGATTTAACCTTGAAAGGGGTCTCGGGCGGCCCTCAAACACACGGAGGATAATAATTAAAGACAGCATTCGGCTCCCTATATTTTAATTTCAAGTTTCATTTATTTCTGGTTCCGGGTGCGACAACCGCATTCTCGTCATCAATTCTTTATAGATAAATGTTTATTTTGTGTCCTGACTATTTAAATAAGTTTACTATGTTAAATATTATGACCACATTGTCATTACAGATGCTGGGACATGGAACGAGCTTTTGAACATTTTCTCACGGAGGAAGGAGGCTTCGGCCACTTTGTGGTTCCCAACCAGTTCCACAGCCTGATGAGTGCCAACATTTCCGAAGCTTCATTGCAGAACCTTTCCATCTTGCTTGCGTGAGAAGCTTTGAATTTGTAAAAATGGAGCTAATGATTGGTGGACGCTACCTGAAGTGCATTATTTGTTAAATAAGCGAACAACTTGTTTATTTACAAGAAACAGCTCATCCATTTGCCATGTTGAACGCGTAATTTTGTGGGTCATTGTGTACATTTGTAGACCTGTTAGTGGCAATTGTAATATTCCACAGAAAGGCAAGTAGCCAATTCCAAAGAAGGCGTACGGCACCGCATGGAATAATGAAGTGAAGAGATCGTGCACAAATGACAGATGTGCTGGCGATCCATAAATGGAGCTTCTGGGCGAGGCTAACAAATTTATTTTGTCAATGTTTTATTTTTTAGGCGTGTGCAAGTGCAGTTCTATACTTAATTCGTCTGTGCATGATTAATGTGAAATAAATGTGCCTCGAAATATTTCGCTCGCAGATCTCGATTCCTTATTAGACGGCTGGACGTCTCGAAACAGAAGAACAACGAACACACGATTACGCACTATTAAGCTGAAAGCGCAATCTCACATTGCAGGCACATACTACGTTAGGTACTTTTAGCAGACCGTTACTGTGGTCCGCGTGCCGCACTATCCCCTAGCAAAAATAACGGTTTAAAATTAGTCCGGAAAGTGAAATCCGGACTAAAATCATACCGGAGTCACACCGGAAAGGCGGCTTCCGGTTCGCACAAACCGTGAATTTTTAAAATCCGGTTCAAAGTCAAATTGGAGGAATTCTGGAGAGGCAAATTCCGGTTTGCTCATACCGTGATTTTCCTAATCCGGTTCAAAGTCAAATTGGAGGAATTCCGGGCAGGCAAATCCCGGTTCGCTCAAACCGTGATTTTCCTAATCCGGTTCAAAGTCAAAATGGAGGAATTCCGGAGAGACAAATTCCGGTTCGCACAAACCGCGATTTTCCTAATCCACTTCAAAGTCAAATTGGTGAAATTCCAGACAGACAAATTCCGGTTCACACAAACCGTGATTTTCCTAATCGGTTCGCACAAACTGTGATTTTTGGAATCCGGTTAAAGATACAATTGAAGGAATTCCAGACACACATTATGCGGTTCGAACAAACCATTCCTTGTCAAATTCGGTTAAAAGGCAAATTGAACAAAGTCTAGACTGAAAATATCCGCTTTGCACAAACCATACTTTGCCATATCTTGTTCAAAAGAAAATCGGATCAGCCGCCTGATGCCGAAGACTTTCATGCGTATGGTTGAAACATCAAGTTGCAAACAATCCTTCCCGATACCGTACAGGCTGCGTCGATCAGAGCTCAGACCGCAGAAGACAGCGAGCTGATACGCGGTGCCAAAAAGGTGACATCAAGGCGATTTTTGCGCTAGTCATCGCCATTTAATTCCATCTAGCTTTTTCTATGCACTCTGTAATACTTGTTCATTATTATGCTTAAACTACGTTTTGTTATTTTTTAAATTTTTTTTTTAAATTGCTTGATAACTGTCAAATAAGCTTTTTCACATAATTTGTTCCACATAACAACAAATAAAAACAAGAACTAATTTGATGGCACAGCTAGATGTACACAAAACCAGAAAGTGTCATTTCAGTATCGTTGATACCTTTCCTGCGGTCTCCTTGTTTATGCCCGCATGTTCAACATTCTATTATGGTGCGCATGCAGGCAATTTCAAGGGCTTTCATCAATATAGGTACGCAAGGCAAGGACTCGAACCGTAACAGTAACCGAAACTGAAAACCATTTAGGAACGAAGATTTTCAGTAACCATAATCGGAACGAAATTATTATTTGAAATTAAAAAAAAAAACAAAAAAACATAACCCTAACCGTAACCGTAACCGTAACCGTAAAGTATTTACCCGTAACCGGTTTTAACCAATATTAGCTGAAAAAAATATAGTTTTTCTCAGGTATGACCTGGAGGGGGGATCTTGAAATGTCGTGGCAATTTGACAGAGTTACTTTCAGCGAGTGGTGCATCTGGTAATACATTTCCGTTCAATCTAACTTTAGGATTAAGGGTACTTAGTTGGAATCAGTGGTCGTGCTTATAATAAAAAAGTCTCTATTTCTAAATCTGTCACACTCCTACATCGCTACATGTATCAGTATGTGTCGCATTCAGTGTAATAACTAATAAGTTAGAATTCTCATATGTCCATCCAATTCGGTTCTATCAAAACCACCGATGTTCCTGACATGCAGTAGCCTGTATGAAGAAACGAGGTAAGTTGACCGTCATGCAGAGCTGGCGGAAAAAAAACCTGGTATTCATTTAGTCTGAAACGTGTCGCTAGTAACGATTTTGAGACAACACAGAAAGAAAAAAAAATGTCAGAGGTTTCACATTGGCGTTAAGTGTATGTTTCATATTAACGTGATCCAGAATTTATCTGAACAGAAAACAATCACAAAAATTAAAAGTATTTTGTGAAGTGAAAGCTAATATATCCCTTGATGGCCAGTATTTACATGGAAGTTCAGTGACTGGCCGGTATCGGCGCTTTGCTGCTCAAACTGGCGAGCCCCGTCATGGGAGATCCGTTTACTGACCGGCATCGTTTTATTTTCTTTTTCTTT